CATTTCCATGTCGCGTATGATTTTGAATAGAAAATTCCAAGTGCGATTGGTGACGAAAATTCTAGCAATTCTATGTTGGATCTCTCCACTGAAAACCTGTTTGTACGAGAAGTATACACGACCGTCATATTTCTTTCTCATATTTTTGATATTATGTCGCAACATTCGATTCACCTTTGGGCATTTTAAATTCTTCAAACCTACCTTAGTACCCTCTGTAACATGAAACAGAGCTTCACAAATTTTCAAGAATATTTTTTTTGTAAAGATCACAACAAATTCCCAATACATTTGGCGGATAAGAAGTTCACACTAATAATAATAATTTCTGCTGCCTTGGTGAGATTGACAAAATCTTTAATAAACGACAGATAAAAATGGACGGATTGAAAACTCTGCGTACTAAAGTCTTTCTTTTTTTTCGATCTCCTCATTCTCCTCCGAGTTCACTCACATTTTTAAACAGTGTTTATTGGATTGAAAACTCGTACTGCGTACTTAAGGCTTTCTTTTTTTTCTCGATATATTCCCTCCTCCTCCGAGTTCACTCACATTTTTAAACATAGTTTATTGTAATAGTGCATTTTTCCTTCTTTTCTCTTTTTTATCATAAAATGTGAATTTAAATTTACCAACTTAAGGAACATGTACATATGTGCATATATATATATATATATATGAAAAATTCATAACAAAAGAAAAAAAACTTAATGTTTTTATTCGTTATTAAAAACGCTTTAGGACTCAAAGCAAATATGAAAGCATCGAATAGACAGACGCTGATGATAATTATATTGCTGATAGCAGTTGTTATAAATATGCGTTTGTGTGCATGCGTGTATAAATTAATTGCAATATAAGAAAGAAAAAAAAAGAAAAAAAAAGAAAAAGAAACAATAATGCAGATAGAATATTTAAAACTGAAATTAAAATTGTTCAAAGATCATTTAACCATAAACGTTGATGAAACAACACCCGTTCATATCATAAATCATCAATTAAAGTGCTTTCCTTGAGAGAACTATTTTTTTTTTTTTTTTTTTTTTTTTAAAGAATAATAACAACAATAGTAATCCACACATAGTCACATAGTTTGATTTAAGGCTTTTGCGTAAATAATTGCATTTATTTGATGTTAATGTATGTACCCTATCGTAAAGGTACTTGTACTAAATGGACTGGAATCATGTAAAAAAACTGCTTTATTGCATTCTCTGCCTCCAGACACGTGTGGAAAATTTCACGAATAATAATGAAATAACAACGCTGTTCACGGACCTATATGATTTCTGCTTGATAACGATCTTCAAACGGTATGTTTTGAAAATTTGATGATTACAAGTTACCGTTGTATGTATTTGTGCTGCTATTTGCTAACTTTCATCAACACAAGCGAAAAATATGAATTTCGTATGTTGATTGAAACATTGATTTTTGATGGGAAGAAATACCCTGCGCGATCAAGATTGGCGAGAAAATACATTTTTATGTGATTCGCTGGTTTTAAAGCAAGTCATATGGCACATCGATGATGTTAAACACCTCTGGTAGCCTAAAATCGGCGATCGAAGAACTGGAGTCCCCTAAGCTAGGTGACACATTAAAAATGTGAGAAGGCAGTAAATTTTCTACTTTGCATGAACATTTTTCCGTAAGGAAACTCTGTTCGAGAGGGTGTCGCATTTGCTCATTTTTCACAGCAACTCGGATGATAAGGGCGAACGCTCTTTGGGAAAAAGAAAAAAGATTTTTTTATGCAATCTGCGAAAATATATAAAAGATAGATACATTACTACATAGTGAAAATCAATAGACGAAAGCCGTCAAAAGCGGCCAAACCTGACGCCTTATTAAAACAACTGCAACTTCTAAACTCACGGAACGTCATAAAATGTTGACACATTTTGTTTATGGGCTGATGCTATCCAGAAATTATAGCGGTCTGTCAACACTGTTGCCATTTATACGTCAGACTGGAGACAGGATATATACCATATTGTTATAAATAAGAAAAGAATCCCCTCTCACCATGTAGGAGCTCTAATGAAAAGTAAGGCCTTATTATCGCGTCAAAATCAACTTTTTATTTATTTGCTAAATTTGCAGCACGTTAGCTCAGCGTACGGGTCTTCACGCATATAATGGCTGATAGGAGGGGTATTTATCGGTCGGCTTTTTGCCAATCTAACTCCAGTTAAAACCCACAGCATGGAAAAACCAATTATCACTACTATTATTACTATTATTATTATTATTATTGCTATTATTAGATTAGCATATAATTATCTCAATTATTTATACAACATTGGGCGCACGTCAACGTAATGTCATTACAATTTGCTTATATTACATTTAATCAACAAAAAGACCATTAACACAAAATAAAACGTAATGTAACGTCGTTTTGCTCGCAAAACTCGTATCGCATTATTACAGTAGAATAATCTTTTAATAACCAGCCAACAATTATAATTATACCAAATGTGTAAAATTTAAAAGACCACAAAACAATAGACGCTTACTAACCGCACACACATTGTAACAAACAAGCGAGAGAATAAAAAAAGAGAAAAAAAAAAAAACAAACCATGCAAAAAAAAAGGTAAAAGCTGAACCCACTTATGTTAAATATCCTCTTGAGTTCAAAAAAAAAAAAATAAATAAATAAAAAAATAAAAAAATTGAAAAAAAAGGAAAGCGTGATGTCCACCACTTACAATCACAAAAAAAAAAAAAAAAAAAAAAAAAAACCATAGCAACTACTTTCTATAGCAGATCCAACTGCGCTCCAACTGCACAAACAAGAGCATCCTCTCGAAATAACAACAAAACAGCAAAAACACTCTAGTGCGTGAGGAAGAAATGCTGTTGAGAGTGTAAATAAAGTTAATACCGCATATTTAGAAGTTTATTGCTTGTGGCTGGTTGCTAGTTTAAAAAGGAAAATTGCAATTTGTTGCGCAATATTTAAGTAAAATACTCTCTGTTCGGAAAATCATTGAAAAATTTAAAGTTGAAAATGTGAAATAACTTGAAAGTGGTGTTTACTTAAACGCCAAATATGTTCTTTTGGTTTGCGTTACGGCATCCTTTGATAATGATTTCATGAAATTAGTCGGCGAAGTCAAATCATGTAATATTTCTCGAAACAAAAGTCATGCGAAGCATGCGAAGTTACGAATTAGTTACCGAGTTAGTGCGGTTGTCAGAGTACAGTTGAAAATTCGACTGATTCGTTTATAAGATTAAACGAAATCTTGTACATATTGTTCGAGGTTTATTCGGGGGGCATTGTGTGATCGATCACTAGTCACAAGAGACACAACGTTGTGTCTTCTTATTACATTCTAGTTGTTTCCATTTTCTATCAATTTTGGTTTCTTCTTCCTCTTCCCCTAATCAAAAGCCGAGAAAAGTGCAAGGTGTCTTGTGATGTTTCTAATATGTTGCTCAGGGAACGCGTTTGTTAGTTTGAAGGTACTTTCGTTATTTATGAAAATAAACTGACTGACTCAGTATCGGGCTTGCACAGGACGTACTAAAATTTACGCAAAATTTGATTTTGATGCCTTTAAGAGTTTGACAGCTGACACTATGGTTACAAAAAATGGAGACGAGAGAGCCACGTGTTTTCATTGCTAAACAACATTGACATAATGAAAGCATGAAACATTTGCTGGTTATGTTAGAATTAGCCCGCTACTGGATTTTTTTTTCTTTTTTTTTTCTAGGGAGTTATTTACAATCAAAGGTGTACGTCAATAAGTCCGCAATCATCGGTACTTTGAAGCAGGCGATTCTAAGTTGCATTAACGCATAGAGTGCTTATGGGCCAAAAAAGCAGTGGAGGCAATTTGCACGCTGTGCTATTCCACCCATAACCCTATCCTATGTGCATTATGGTTCAATAAAAAAATTAAATAAAAACTTTGTGTAGATTTTGCGACACCCTTTAGCAGATCACGCGCAATTTAGAGTAATAAGCGTCGATACCGGCGATTTCTTCCAAATCGTATTCAACTCTTTTACTAATGCAGGCTTTTACATAAAATTAAAAATTAAATTTACTACCGTAATCCAACCGGCGTTAAAACGATTAATTAATTTAATTTTGCACTCGCTTTATCCATGGTTTATATGAAGCTGAAGTTGAGTATTGATATTTTACAAGCAGCACACAAGGATAAATACCATTAAAGCCCTTTACCTTTGTTTCGCTTATATGATCTTTTTATTACTAGCCATAATACATTCTACGAGAAATTTCCTCTTTGCGTTCGGCGTTCAATAGTTTCGTCACTCTGTCAGTCTGTTAGATGGTTTACGATGTCCGCTTTTAAAGCAATATTCTCTGAGAATTTGTCTCGAGTAAAATTTTTACACTTCGTGTGAATTTATTAAACTTAGCATAAAATGTTTTTAACGTCCGTTCTTCCTATTAAAACCATGCGAACATTTTTCATATATCCAAGTTTTGATAAGACATTTCTCTTGCAAGCTGTTTCCTTATTATTCTGCAGCAGTTTTCGGTAAAATAACACAACAATGTAGTGACAACTCCCGGGAACGCTGTTTGGTTATGGAAAACTTTTTAACAGCTCCTGTTTCTCCAAGTATGATTTCAAATGTTTAATTGAGTCCTGCACACGATAAGAGGGAATTCGCCGATGAATGAATTACTCCATCAAGCAAATATCTTGTGGGGGAATGTGTCCATGAATTAAGCATAAGGTAAAGTGTTGCAGCAAACTTTCTGATTTCAAAATTTCACTTAGAAGGCGTGGTATATATTGCAATAGGTTCAAAATTAAAGTGAAACAAAATCAAAAATGATACGATGGAAATTAATTAATTTAATTACTAAATATTTAAAAAATTTTTGCATCCCACAAATGTAATAATTTGTAAACAAATGTAATAATTACTAAAAAATTTTATATCAATGAAACGACGCGAGAAAAAAAGAAATTAATAAATAAAATAAAATATTGAACACATACCTGGCATTCGATTGGCCATCGGGGGGCCTGTTGTGAGCAGCCATGTTCCTTATCTTTTGGCAGTGCAAAAAGCTCACGCGGTTCTTTAAGACGAGCTATTGGTCGCAATGTCCTTTCATCGGTATTCACTTCTAATTGATTGGTTCTTAGACCTTTTGTTAGGAAATTACCAAGATAACCTGCAAATATATATATATATATATATGTATAGGTATAGGTATATATATTGAAATGATGCATGTAAAATGAAGAAAACAAGAGTTGAAATTTGTACAAATCGCAAAATTCATACACAATAGCGATATTAATGATGTCAACAGATGCTGCAGCATTTTTTTATAACACATTTGTATGGCTTTGTTCAAAAGGTATGCACAAAATATTCGAAAAATCCAAATATTTTACAAATTCTAGTTTATTCTCAACACGCACACACAACTCCCCGTCAAATGCTTCTTCATTTTTTTCGCATAAATTTTCGAAGAAATTTCTAAATATTATGTGTGAACACAGACACATATACTACTATTGCTTTTCGTTTTATGTTTCTTTTTCTTTCGTCTTGTTTGCTTCTTTTTTTTTTTGTTTTTCATACTATGCGTTTCTACGGACTTAGCTAGCTATATTTGTGAGACACTGAGCAAATACCAGCAAGGAAAGCAAGCGGCTAAAGGGTAAAAACTTGAATATTATTATCCAAGAAGAAGAATTTGTTCACTAAAATATATAATGCTGTTTGTTATTCATTCCAAAAACAACTATTAATGTATTCTGTCGGCATAACCTTGTGAACAAGTCAGTAAATGTAAATGCATGCATAAGGCACAGAGAGAAGTGTTACGGTACGTATGTACTAACACATAAATATATTAGATCGACTGCTGCTACATTTTTTTCAACACCGTCAGTCAAGTTCATAAAGTCATAAAGATTTCAAGATTGTCACACTTTATGTTTGTTTGTTTGTCGTCTCCTTACTTGTTTGCGGTGTTGTTTATTTACTTTCTCTCTGCGTTAATTCGAAATGATTTTGTTTTATTAAAAATTTTAACACGCCAGGATTATATATTATCTATGGGAAAACATAAGTGAAATGAAAAGGGAAGCTAAGAAGGAGAGGAGCAAATTTTCATTTTTCCCCATTTTTTTCCTTTTTCGTTCTCTTTAAACACTTACGAGACACAACAACTAAAACGATAAGTGTTCGACTTGCTCCTCAATATTTTGTGCTCTCTATGGGCTCATTAATTCCATTTATTATTATTGTTATAAGACAGACTTGATTGGTGAAAGACAAATCAGCTAAATATGTTTCAAAAAATTCATTAATTATCTTTGAAAGTTAATTGATTGAAGCACAATGTATGTAATTCCTCTAAATAGATCAAGCGGTTTACTTAAAGAAACAATATTAATAAATATTGATGATAATGGACAAATTAATCGACCGATCCTTACTATTTTCATAATACATTTTACCATAGCCATGATATAAGTATATATGTATATACGATAAATGTCTGGTCAGTTTCTATTCTCTTTGCAAAATTATTTTCAAATAGGCGAAATTGAACTATGAATAATGATATATAGATGTTGCCCGTCATAGATAGTATCAACTTTTATATGAAAAGTATCACAGTTTCGCGACATTTCGCTGATTAGTATGCAAGTTACCAGACGAATCTGGATGTGCGATATTTTTGAAATCAACTCAAATTTTGAATTCGCCCAAGAATGCCAATACATTTTTAAGATATGTTAATAAATATTGTAAAAGAGCAAAGCTAGCGCTTATGGGGTAATTAAACAAGTAAATACTTCGCGTATTCCTTGAGACCTGCATTGAAATCGAAATAAAGCTATGGCTACAGATGCTGTAGGTAATAGAATCTCTCAAAACATGCGGCTATGCAAACAGCCACAAGGACCAATGCACAGCAATCAATGCTCCACGAAAAACTAACAGACGTCGCAATTGTGCCGATAAAACTGCATGCATTGACCGTGAACGGAAAGATAATATATCATCTGTTCTGCCAATCCAAAGATACAATGCGTATGCTATCCGTAAAATAGACGTCAGTGTCTGGAAAATACGTGCTCTCTGCTCTCCGTTTCAGTTCAGCTATTGCTTTCTTGTTTTGCGCAAACTAATTTGGCCGACAGTTTGCTTTGTCTAGCGCATAGGTTTATGACATTCATGCTTTAACGTCTCCCTGAGAAGTGATCATATGTGTGTATGTCCGCGTTCTGACCCTTCTTTTGGTCAAGTTCAGTAAATACTAAAAGTCAGCAGCAAAGTACGCGTTGTTCGTTAAAAGTAAAGTCTCGTTTTGTGGCCGCCGACTCACTTTAATATCATTTTCCTAAAACTCAATCTTCTGCTCTATCCCCCCCTTTAAAAAAAAAAAAAAACAAAAATATATGAGTTAAAGCGCAAAACAAAAATTTGTTTCTTATTTCTTTACCATCAAGCTGTTACCTTAAGTGACTTAAGTGACGACTTAGACGCGATGCAAGAATCCGCAAAGAAAGCTCTGCTTCTTAGTAGAGATATGAAAGTGTTTCGAATCAACGCAATACAAATGCAAATTGAAGCGAATCCTTTTTGATTACATCGGCTTAGGCATATTCAACGGACTTAGTCCGCGTCAAACTTGAGGCTTTTATCTATCTAATCGCGGCCATTTATAGCAATTCTTTTTTCTATCGGCATGCGTCTTAAGAAATTCGTAAGCGTTCCTCAACTAGTGAAGTGGATTTCTTCGAATTAGATTAGACTAAAGCCGTTTGCACCGTAAGCGAAGGTCTCTCTAATCTAGTGGGTATACTATCTGATCTTTGGGAAGAGTCATTGAATTGTGTCTTACACACTAAAACTTCATCAAAACCTATTGTGAAAATATCACATTTTTTTTATTATTCGTTTAAAATATTGTTTCCCGATAGAAAATCTGATTTCGAGGCCTTTGCGAAATTAAGTTTCATTTTAAATAAATTTAAATTTAAAGAAATGCGGACAGAACACAAGAGTAAGTGTATTTGCATTATGAAACGAAGTTCGCCCATCAAGCGCGTCTACCATCCTTGTCTCTCTTACTTGAAACGGCTTCAAGCAGCATCAAGAAGATGTTTTTTAAGGTGCTAAGCGTTCCTTCAAATTATAATTAGAAAATATAATTAACGATCCACGTAGACTAGACGACAGCCCAATAAGTAGCCGAGTCAAGTCGAGGAAGATGGGCCATTAAATACCTTATACACTACAACCCAAAGGAAAACTACAAATTTCCACATTCTATAATATTGGATGGGCGCGGTGGATTTTCCCTATTTTTGTAGAACAATTTTGTGAAAATTTATCACACGTGCATCTGTTGTAGGGTATGAGCAACGAATAAAAGACATGGAACGCAGGAAAGGTGCTCCCAGTCATGGTTGTATAGGCTTGTGGCCATTATAGGCGTGTTTTTTGATTTGTTTGGAAGATTTTCTTATTCTTTTGCGAATTTGTAGGCGATATCATCTTTTTCGCGGACGGGAGAAGTTGACAGACGGACATACTTACGTGTATTCCGAATTTTAAGCTGACCAAGAATTTATACACTTTTCAATAAAGTACCAACTTTTGATACAATAGCAGCATTGGGGACAGGTTCTACAGCATTCCTCATGAAATCTGTTGTAGTTTATAAGTAATGAAAAACAGAGGTGTTCTCAGTTTATGTAATAGTGTAGGCGTGTCCTTCGACCAAACTACGTGGAAGAACTTGCAGTGTTGCTGCGAAGTTTGCAGTCGATACCTTCTTTGCCTTGTGGAGGCTTCTTAGTTTCCCTTCTGGCCATTGCAAACGTTTTGACAAAAGGAATATCTATATACGACTCATCCTTTGGTGATGGGTGGTATAAAAATGGCTTTTCAAAAGAACCTGCTATGTGGATGGTGCGTTTACCATAATAAGCTTAGACTTACTTTTTGTGAGAATCCTGCGGAATTATGCGGCAAGAATCGGAGAAACAGAATAATTTCGCAGTGTAAATTTATATTTGAAATTCTAGAAATAGAATTTTGCTTTTCACCTTCATTTCAGACGGCGCAAAATCTTACTATTATTTGGTATTTTGACTCAAAGCATATCATTGGGAAAAATTCCACGAACTTTTGCAATCATGAAGTAATAAAAATTCCAACTTGTTGTGTGTACTAATTTGCATTGCGGATTTGAGAAGCAAATGCCGCATCAATGCAATACGACATATACGGTATTTTGCTGCGGCATCAACAAGTGTCAAGCGCGCATATAAGCAATGAATTGAAAAGGACTTTCTTCCTTTAGTATTGTTTAGCTAAATAAACTGCGTTCGCGAATAACTTACTTTTTGTTTTGCTCGTATCGTAACTGGAAATAAAAAATGGATTTAGTTTGAAAATCCCAATCGCAAAAGATTATCAGTAGAGCATTATTTATCGTATCGCTTTGCCTGGAAGACGATGCTGTATTTTCCATGCGATCTAAAGAGAATGAACTGTAAGTGCACGGAAATGTTAACAGCTTAGATGAGAGCAATATGTCTCGATGACAGGTTCTCGGTTAAAGGGAGAGATTCAGAGTTTCCTAAAAAGGTGGGGAAAAGTGCGTAAAAAATTCCGCACTTCATGCTTGTAACAATGATTATATGAAATGGACTTTAAAAAATTGTCTCACAATCGTTTCCCATATGCATTTTTAAAGAAATATTAAGAGCAGCAAATTGTTCTTCGTAATATGTTAGACGAAGACAAGTTGTAAAAGTCATCCGTTTTACACGCTCCCGCGTGCCTAGGCCAATATATGTAAAGTAAATTAAATTTTATTAAATGCGGAAACACAAGAGCGGACGAAGAAACTAAATTCATAGGCAAAAATGATTCCCAATCAAAAGGTATAATAAAAGATGAGGCCATCATCTCACAAGTCAATCCATGCCTTCTCAAACATTTCCCCCTTCCTTACTATAATTGAAGTGAAGGCATATTAGGTTACACTTGGTTGGGGGCGAAACTTTGATACTCACACATTCACGCCTAAGACAAGCTAATAAATCTGAGATAATTTAGACGATCAAGATCGTGTTTATATAATCGTTTTGTGCTTCTAGCAAAGATTTTTTATCCGGTTTTAAATCCTATATAGGC